TGATGGTCTGATGTATGAAAGTGTTGTGTGTCTGTAGTAGTGATGGTCTGATGTATGAAGGTGTTGTGTGTCTGTAGTAGTGATGGTCTGATGTATGAAGGTGTTGTGTGTCTGTGGTAGTGATGGTCTGATGTATGAAAGTGTTGTGTGTCTGTAGTAGTGATGGTCTGATGTATGGTGTTGTGTGTCTGTAGGAGTGATGGGTCCGGTGGAGATGGACGAGTTCGGGGACAGACAGATGGACTTTGCTGTTTGGGACACGATCAACATCGAGTCTGGAGAGTTCCAGGTAAAACACCTCAATCATGATGTCATTGCCATGATGTCATCACACACCTGATAAACTAGAGCTTATATGTTACTTGTGTGTGTGTGTGTGTGTGCGCAGGTGGTGTGTGTGTACAACAGCAGCATGAAACAGCTGATCATGCAGGGTGGGCGGAGCTTCCAGTGGCCAGATGGCTCTCCACCGCCAGATGTCCCAGAGTGTGGCTTCAAGAACGACCAACCAGCCTGCCTCGCACGTACGAACACACACACACACACACACTCACTGTCTACATCAATGGAGCTGAGGAGGAGGAACAAACAACTGGACCCCTTCCTCACTGGGGGTTCAGATCAACAGATCGTTGTTTTATGACAAAAATATGCTTAAATTCTTCTTTTTCTATGAACCACAATATACGGTCAAATTTAAATGATTCATTAAATATTTAATAACAAATTATTTTACCAGTAAACTGGAAAAAAACTGTTGAACAACAAAAAGAAGATGGCAGGAGGAACTTTACAACAGCTTGAGGTTCTCAGAGTTCACGAAGTTCCCCTGAATGCACCATGAAGTCCACGTCTTCTCCGTAAACAGCCATGTGGACTTTGAAGTGGAGCAAAACAACCACGACTGAAATCACCAAACAGGGGGGGGGCTCTAAATCTTCTGCAGTCAACAAACTATTTTCTCTGTCAACGACGCGTTCGTGGTCTACATGACTCGTGGGGAAGTACAATGTTTGGAAGATTGTTTCTCCAGCTGTGCTCATGAAGTCTCAGCCGGTCACTGAGTCGTCTCCTTTGGACAAATACAAGTATCCTTTTGTCATTGAATGTTCAAAACGAAACCTCATTTCAATCGATTATCGAATCACTCGTCTTCATCCTGGTGAATGAAGCTCATGAACAGCTGTATTTCTTTAGGAAACTTAAGAAGTTTAGAGTCCTGTGACAAGTTCTTGTTAACTTTTCCAGAGGAGCAACAGAAAGCATCCTGACAGGGAACATCACCAACTGTCATGAGAGGTTCAGGGTCCAGGAGAGGAGAACTCTGAAACCAGAACATCACTGGTTCTACTGAGATCAGTGATGTTGGTGAGAAGAGCTCAAAGATAATAAAAGACAAAACCACCAGACAAGCTGGAAAGAGAAAGAGAAGGATCAGCTGACTTCAGATCAGCTTCTTTGCTCTGGATGTGAGACTTTCACTCGTCCTCCTTTTTTCTAATTCATGTCACTATGAATATAAGACCAGTATTTTGGATTGTGGGAATATTATTTTCTAGAAAAGTATGTTGGATTTGTTTATGACTATATTTTTTGAGGGTCATACTGTAAACTAAAAACCTTTCTGATGTCCGTCCATCCTCTCCAGGTACAGTTACAATGCATCAGATGGTTGCCATAGTGATCTGCTTCATCTTTGTAATCATTGTTACCGTGACTGTGTTCATCTACAGGTGAGAAAGTCACTCACTCACTCACTCACTCACTGACACGTTTTTACTTCTATTCTTGTGTAGAGACTAATTGACAATCTGTCCTCACTTTACTAGAATGTCATCACTTTACTAAAATGTCATCACTTCACTAAAATGTCATC